ATGCTGATATTTGTCTTAATTCAGTATTTATTCACCTTAAAAAAAGGGGGGGGGTCAAATGTTTTAGGATTTTTTTTTCCCTGTAATTATAATTTCATTTACTAATTATTTTTATTTAGATTATCATCTTATGTTCATTTTTACCCCAAATTAATTTATTCCGTGTTTATTTTTATAATTCTTAATCTGGTTTTGTTTTATATTTCCATAACTTTTCTTTCAGTCATACAAAGACAAGAACAAACAGATTTATAGGTGAACTGATCACATGTTGATTGTTGTCAGCTAAGAAATTCACAGGGACGTGAGCTCCTTCCTGCTCGGTGCTTCTAAGAAGCTCAGTTTTCTGTTTGAAATTTGACGGATCAAATCCCGTCTGTAACAAACGGGTATGAACAGAAGTCATGAGGTCTAAAATAAAATTGGACACTGTGCAAATCTCAGGAGATGGTAAACACCAGATTTCATCAGCACATAATTTGCAGGCAGAAGGTGATTTTTTTTTTTAAATAAAAAATAAAAAATCCTCCTCTGTTGTTTTAGGAAAACATAGGAAGTCTTTATTATGATATAACACTGATCACCAGTCAGCTGTCTTATATAACACCAGCTAAACTGCTGCAGTGAGTGATGGAGACACCGCCTTGGGCCTCATGAAGATCCCTGTTGGACTCTTCTGGGCTCCCTTAGGGGGTACCAAGGGACAAAAAGGTGAAGAAGAAAACCGAGCGAGCTGGTGGGATAGCAAGAGGCCCTCCCTCTGTCCTCGATTTAGAGAATTTTCCTGAGCTAAACTTTCAGTTAATCCCCCATTCCCCTGAGCTTTTCTTCTGTTTGTATAAAAAGATCCTCACTGTTATATAAATCTGGGCTTCATGCAGATTACTATTGCCAGCTCTGACAGCTCCACTGTGCACTGCACCCACAGTGTATCCTGACACCTAGTGGACAGAAAAGGCAGCACACCTCTCAGTCCTCAAACAACAGGATTTGCACCTTTATTTTCAGAGGGGGTTAAACAACACTAACGAGTTAATACAGTGAAATAAGAAATGAAAACTGAAATGAGAATATGTGTCTACAAAATTAAAAAAAAATGCAGTTAATTAAAACACACCCATTCAGAAGGAGGTGATGTAATCGTGTCGTTACTTGCGCTGGATGTGGGGTATACCAAGTGTCCCTTTTAATGTGGGAGTGCACAGCATTTGTTTATCCCATTGAGAAAATATCCCCTATTTTAATTATCAACATTCAACAGTCCACACTGCAGTGTTTAGCTTTTATCCAAAGAAACTGTATCACTGTGGGACACAGAGTGGACATTATAAGACTAGAAAATTAGAAAGATGCACTCATTACAGTTCTTCCTTTCAGGCTTATTGCATTTAGTGAGTTCAGATAAAATGCAGTATTCCTCTCCTTGACATGATTACTGCCAAACCTGCAGAATTCAAATGTGTCTGTTTTTAAATTCTGCAAAGCAAAATTCCCGACCTGTCCCACACAAACCTGCTCTCTGTCCCTGCTTTCATTTCTTCTCTTACCCACGCTGGAAACTAACTGATACTTAAGTGAATTTAAGATGAAATAAAAACGTAATATGGATGCAGATCTTGGTCCCCTTTTAAAGTCACATGATTAGTATTTTTGTTGTTTCTCCCCTGCAGATAAACTGTTGTTGTTTTCTCATGAAATGTATTTCTCACGTGTGTGGTTGCTTCTTTGCTTTGCTGTGATGATAAAACACAGAGGTGTTAAACCTGCTTTACTTTCACAGCTACAGCAGATACTTTTGATACATTTCCACAGTACTTATAACCAGTTTTGTGTTTTATCACAGTTGTGTAAAGATCGATGAGAAACTGAACAAACAGTTTTAGTCAGACAAAAAAAAACCAAAACATTAAACTGCTGACGTCCCTCACGACCTCCGCCTGTTACAAGTGATGAAACCTTTACAGGAAGATGGAGGTGATGTCCAGAGGCTTGTGGGCTGATTGCTGCTGTCACCACTCATTTACCTTCAGATGCTCTAATGACCCGCCTCAGGCTGTGGCACACACTCTTCTGTGTGTGTGTGTGTGTGTGTGTGTGTGTGTGTGTGTGTGTGTGTG